ACTGACCCGTATGATATGAATTGTGTTTTAACTGCGAATTACATTCCTGCAGTTCATGCAATCTCGCAGGATTATCATAACCCTTAGTATAATCATATAATGTTATATAATTTAGAAAAGTACAATGCTCACTCGTTTGTGTCATGATTGTAACTGTGTCATAATTTCCCCACAGTCCAAGTTATGATTTCCAATAGTTGAGTCCATGATTATTCATTTTTTACGATGACTCTTCACTAACTGGATTTATTCTCAAAAACAGTAATATTTTTTATTTTTGCCATGTTACCGAAATTACAGGACTTTTTCGGTTATAGAGAAGTCAGGGATTAGCCGACATATGATAGAGAAGTAATATGGTCAAAATATGAAACTTGCCTCTTCTTTCTCCTTTATTAATAGGCTCATGCCTGTTTTACTTCGGTTTTTAGCCTCAGTTGTCGTTGTCTGACCACCTTTTCCTCGGTCATCCCATTGGTCTTCTTCCATTTGGCGATTTGTCTCTTGCTATTCGTACTGTTCTATTTTCTGTCATTCTTTCTATGAGTTGATTCCATTTTATTTTTCTTCTTTTGGTTCACAGGTTTATTTCCTCTATACCGCATCTCGCTCGTATTTCCTCACTTCTTACTCTGTCTCTTAGAGTTTGGTTTGTTATTTTTCGTAAGGCTTTCATTTCTGCTGTTTCCAATAATCTTTGTGTTTTCACCGTATCTGCTCTTGTTTCCGCTGTGTAGGTCAGTATCGGTCTTATTGTTGATTTATATATCCTAGTTTTCGTTTCCGTTGTGAGGTATTTGTTGTCAAGATTGTATTGTTGAGACATCCTGCTGCTCTGTTCGGCATGTTCACTTGTTTTTGTACTTCTTCTTCCACTTTTTCCATAGCCTGACAGTTTGATTCCCTAGTATTCCGTTTCCATCACTTGTTCTATTATTTTGTTATTTACGACCAGTTTACATCGTCTCGGTTCCGCTGATGTCACTATCGATTTAGTTTTCTCTGTACCCGAAAATATGGGGTTCTCAAGAAAAGTATTAAGTACACCCCTACTGATCAAAAGCTCAAAAAATAGAATTTATCAACGTTGTTGTACGTTCTTTGCTTATAGCTAGAAGAACCTATAGAGCTTTTTAGTCCTCGCCAAGATAGTCACCTTGAGTCAAATTGTAAGTCGAATAGGTGATTGAATAGTTATAGAAGGACCAAGGGTTACAGGTCAGAGAGAATAAAAAGGGTGACTTGATCCACCGTGAGGTGAATGTCATTGGACATATACAGAGTATCCTGAAAGTTTGAAATAACAAAGCGAAGCTGCGGGAAGCTAGCACTAATAACGTAAATACACCTCTCGGATGGAAACATCGTCCATCACGTCCTTAATAGATTTGCGGAGTATCAATAGAATCTTGAAAACGTTCAGAGAAAGCTAACATCGAATCGATAACTAGGTCAATGCTGCAGAAATGTGCCAATTTCAGTTTTTCAAATGCGATTTGTTCGTAAACTAGCTTAACCTACACACTGCGCGAAACCAGATACTGAGTCACATAAGTACCACATAACATCGTACCTCCAAACATACTAGGGGAGGCAGGCAGGCTTGCGTTGGCCGATTAATAGTCTTCCGGCACTCAAATCTCGGTTATGTTGAGACCTTGGTATATGTGTTACTAGGAAAGCTTGCTTATCATTGCCCGACCAATACACTCTGCAAAGAAAAGTCTCAACCTTGAGGACACCCTGTATATGTCGGACCAATGCACCGTTAAAGCCTGGCCTAGTCCGAGGCTAACGAATATCTCGATTCCGTAATTTTTCGAAATCACAGTACTCCCTACCAGTTAGGGAAACTAAGTTTTTCCCGATCATAAAAAGTTCCTATTGGCGTACAAACAAGGAACGCGTAAAAAGCGTATTTGGGATAGCAACATTCATTTTCAATCCTCAAGTAGTTCCTGGGGATGTTTCCTACAGTTTAGAAAATTCGTGTATCATAGAATGATTATAGGATGGCGCTAGGTTCCTGTATATGGTAAATCAAGCAACTAAGTAAAATTAATCATAGATTATGAAAAAATATATTTACCTTGCCGGTATTATCATCTTTCCAGCATCGTAGTTCATTCCTGATACCGGTCCTCACGACGTGATAGCGCAACAAAGCGGTATTAGAAGAAGGATACTCATAGAGACCGGCATTCCCACCGGTGAACCCAGAAAGCACAAGCAGAGACGTGTATTGACAACATTTCTCTATTATCCTTAAGGCCAAATGTAGGGAGAAGTCTATGAGGTGAACTATGCCCAATAGGTGCGTAGAACTGCTAGGGGTTGGAGCGAATAAATATGCGAATCCCCAATTTTTATTCCCTACAAACACTTTTCTAGAAATAATCAGGGATTCCTGAGACATCAAAAAATGGCGTATGAGCGTTTTTTTTTTCGTTTTTTTGCTTGTAGCTCCGCCACCACTGGACGTGTTCTCTAAAACTACAAAATCTAACCGGTACTACCCCAGTTACAGACGGGCCAAGGATTAGCAGAGAGACAGATAGACAATCAGACAGGTAGAAAGAAGTGAGTGTCACTCACACGAAATGTACATCACGAAAAACCATGTCGGTTTTTCGAGATGCACATCTCATGCAGTGACAACAAAATATGATATCTCATTTACGAAACTGTTCGCTATTACAATACTTCCTCGCCAGTAGGCGTGGGAAGTCAGAGCGTGACAGACTTAGTGTTAGTTTTTAAAACTGCTGGATCATCGGAAGCCCGTGTTGCAGGTGGGCGTGCGGGATCCCGTAGGTCAATAAGTAGAGCTGGGTCTTGCGGGAATGTGGGATCCCGTTTTGCGGCATTGCAGTCTTCGTTTTAAGTGGTTATTTAGGATCGCGTCTATGGTACCTGTTTCGAAAATGTTCTATACCCTTAAACCTTCTGTACCCCGTTTCAAATGAAACATGGATTCACTCTGTAAGATGGTTAATTTTAATTTCTGTCTGACTTGTTGGTGTTTATCTAACGTAATAGTCAAGTACATTTATGTAATAGCTAGTTATGTTTAGAAGCGTTCAATTAGTTAAATTTTCATAATTTATCGTAAACGCAGTATTCAACTTTGTTCTGCTTAGTCTAGATCAGAGTTCCTCAAACTTTTTTGTGTCGTAGACCCCTTCCCATGTTTTTCCGTGTTGGGTAGACCACCTACTTACCTGATATTGATTTCCTTTAAATTTCTAACTGTAGTGAAGTTTAGTGTTAAACACTTAAAGTAAAAACACATGTTAATTTATACATTTATTAATTGAATTTAAATTAAAACTACACAAAATAAAATTTTGTATCTATTATGTAAAATATACGTAACATTAAATAAATAGGTGTCTGACCAATAAGTGCCCGCATTGGGAATAAGTGCCCGCATTGAAAAAAAAATAAGAGGGATACAATAAAAAAAAAGAGAAAAATAATAAAAAAACAAGTTTTTTACTTAAAATAGTACAATAAGCGAGTTCGTTTATTAATTATAACATAAACGTATGTTCTACAATAATTTCACTGGTAGTTTGATTAAATTCCGCTTCTAATACGTTTAAGTTATCTAAAAATAGGCAAAAAATTAACGAATTTTAGTGTGTACCTATCCTTGATTTTTCAGAATAATTAAAAAAAACATATTTTCTATAAAGGGGGGTTCTTTAAAAAAATCAATGCGGGCACTTATTCCCAATGCGGGCATTTATTGGTCAGGCACCAATAAACATAAAATAACTTAAGCAATAAGTCAATATTTTTAGTGAGAAGGATGAACCTGATGTAACAAATTATCAACATTTGGCGTCAATTTTGTAAGGGTTAATCTTAAATCTCCTCGGCTAATGATGTACAGTCTGTTTCTTTTTTTCATTAGGAGATTGGTAACAGCGCTGAACCCCCTTTCCACTAGGTATGACGATGGAAAGGAAACTAAAAATTTCCTCGCTATATTCCATAATACGGGATAAGTAACGGGTATGTTGATTTGCAGCCAGAATTGCTGATATCCGTTTTTAAACTGAACCTTAAGTTTTTCTTTTGTACTTAGTTCAGTCAGTTCCTCTTGTATTATGACATTCGTTTCTTCTATGTATCCATATGGATTAATTATCCACGGTGGTATTACCATAGTCAAAATATCCTCAAACCTAGATTCAAAATCTGAATAGAGGACATTTAAATGTTGAACGTAAGTTGAAACGTCGTCTTCCTGGCAGCTTGTCTGTAACAAATTGGGGAACTGAGAAAATTTTATCTTTAGTATCCAGAAATTCTAAAATAGTCTCCAAAAGTACAAAAAATCTTGTCAAACATAAGCCTTTCGACAGCCAGCGTACTTCAGTGTGAAGGAGTAATTGATGAAAGTGTTCGTCATTTTCTTCACACAACTGTGCAAATAACCACGTATTCAACGCGTTGCTTCGGATTCGGTTTACTGCATCAATGACTAAATGAAGTGATTCATGCAATCTAACACTCAAATTTTTAGCAACTAAATGTTGTCGATGGATGACGCAATGTATTGCTAACACCCCTGACACATTTTGTTTTAAATAGCTTATAAATCCACGATAACATCCAACCATGGCAGGTGCTCCATCTGTAGCTACTGATATTATATTTGATAAAGGAATTGCTTTTTCGATGAAGTAATCCTACAAAACATGAAATATTGATTCACCTTTAGTGTCGGTTATCAAAGTTCTTGCGAAGAGAAGTTCTTCGTAGATTTCTTGACTCATAATAAAACGAACATATGCCAATAATAATGCTGCATTATCAGGTAAAGTTGACTCGTCTAGTTTACAAATAATTACATAAGAAGCTTTCAATATCAGAACTGATTTCATCAATACGTCTTTCAACAGTATTGTTGTTTAAGGGAATTCTTTTAATGATATCCGATGCAGGTTTGTGTAAAACAGTTTTTAAAACCTCTTCAACGGCTGGTAAAATTAACTTCTCTCCGGTAGTTGCGGTTTTCCAGATTTTGCTATAAGTAACGAGATATTGTAAGACGCCCGCAAACCATCATCATTTATTTGTGACGTCGAAGCGAACATTCTGTCCAGTGTAGGTCTCTTCTGAAATTTATCTTTGAGTGTTTGAACGTATTTCAAATCTTTCTTTGTTTTATCAGGGTGGCATCTTCTCAGATAATCTTGCAGTTTAGATGGTTTCATAGCGTCATTGCCCAAAACTTTGTTGCATAAAGCACATAGGCGATTGTTTGTCCAGCAATGATGGAATGAAGCCAAATTTCAAATAATCAACACTGTACTGTCTGCATTTCTTTTTAGATTCGTACATGGCATCAGTCATCTGTAGGCAAAATTAAATTAATTAAATAAGACAGAAAATCCGGCAGCTGTATGATAAAAATATTTTTTGATTTTTCCGAAAACATTCCATAATTCGAACATCTTCTTGCAACAATTAGCTGGAATTACGGAGATTGCACTGTAATTATATTACCGATTGCTAAAACTTTCAAAAAGAAACTATTAAGGAGTTCTCGTGTAATTTTGCATGATTGAATATTTAACTACTAATACCTAAAGTCATGATTGGCGTAATTTATCTATATTTGCTAACTACGAGTACAAAACATTTACTTACTTTTCTCCAGCACTCTCAGACAAAATAACACTGACTCACTATAATTTATGTGATATACTATCTGTTCATATTTTTTAAAATATTTTCTTAGCACTTTCCTTTTCAAGATTCAGGAAACGAATAAACGTATTTGTCCCACATTCGTATTTATAGAGTGACGAATTGAACAAGTCAGTGCAAGGTAGCGAAGCTCTGAGACTGCGACTCTCAGGTTTTTACAAGTTCGAAATGTATTGCGACCACAAAGCGAATACAAACATCCTACAACTTACACAAATTTATAAACATATATAATAAATTTTTTACTTCATAGGTACTTTTATAAATAATGTATATGTTTTGATATTATAAGATAGTATGATGTAAGTAAATAGGTACTATCAGTGTATGTGTTGAGACCCATATTCATTTCATGGACCCCCAAATTTTTTTTCGCTGACGTAGACCCCTTGCAGGTTGCCATAGACCCCTAGGGGTCGATATAGACCTCTCTGGGAATCAACGGTCTAGATCATCGGCATTAGCAGATCACATTACTTTTGCTACGTTCATTTAATCAGCTTGCGTTTGTAATCATAAATAGGTTAATATGCCAAATGTGTACACCCTGTATATGAAACGCATATAATACCGTATTTCAAGCCGCATCGGAGCCCCAAGCCTCAAGATACATAAATCTCTGTCCGTAAATGGAGCTCTGGCTGGTAGCTTGTCTTGAATAATGAGAACAAAGCTGGTGTCGTTGTGAAAACCATTTGCGCCTTGCTGCAGCGGTTTCGGCTATTGGAGAAAAATTACCCGCTCATTAATTCATCAGACTTCCTTTCTTTCTGATGGCTCAGCTTAATCCGGAAAGAATGTCGCTTAGGATGAGGATTTATAGCGGAAGCAGAGGAGCTGCTGAAGTTTATAGACTTGCGTTGTTCTGCCCAACAATAAGACCACATATGCTTCAAGAAAAGCAAAAGGTTTCTGCAGTTTGAGTTGTGCTTTGCATGTTTAAAGGAGCTCGAAATTCTACACTCGCATCAACATTCATCACTAGATTATGTATTTTCAGGACTATACTTTTTTTATCTTGAAGTATTGTGGCAAACCGTCCTCCATTACCAAATAATCCCTTTCCCACCTTCCTTCCTATTGTTCATATCTCATCCTAATGGCGACAGATACGTACCACTAGGTTTTTTCTCTGTTAAAAATACGAGTATATTACCAAAAGGTATTATTAGGATATACGTCTCCGCAGGTGGCTCTTTTAGCGCTATGCCTCATCAGATCTTCATTTCATGATTTATCGATCACTAATATACTAAGTGACATATGAATCCGAACACCCAGTTTAAATGGTTTTATTTTAATAAAAGTTGGTGAATGTATTTATTTTACTGTAAATAACAAGTGAACAAATTTTCAGCCTTATCAGTTGGACATTCCGGTTTTTATACTGCTTTTTTTTAATTCACTAACGCTCTAAAATGAATATTTCAGCCGCAGTAAAGAATCAACGTTGGCGGATTTTGGTTCTTGACATCCTTTACGATCGGTTACGATGCCTAGACTACGAAGACCTGTACGATTTCATCAACTTAGTGAGTTTGATAGGGGCCGTATAGTGGGACTTCGGGAAGCTGGACCTTCTTTTCGGGCAATTGCAGTTAGAGTGCAAAGAAGTGTAGACACTGTGGTTAGGTGTTGTCAGGCATGGCTTCGAGAAGGACGTACGCAAAGAGCAAGGGGCACTGGACGCCACCGTAGAACAACAGACCGTGAAGATCGCCGCCTAAGATTATTGGCCTTAAGGGACCGCTTCTCCACTACCAGGTCAATTGCAAATGAATGGTTTGTAGAACACGGAAGACCTATTGGCATGCGAAGTGTTTACCGACGAATGAGAAGTTTTGGCTTATTTTCATACCGGCCACACTGGGTCCTCCCTTTAACTCGAGAACACCGACGTAGTCGCCTTGGGTGGTGCAGACAACGGTCACTCTGGGATCAGGAATGGAACAGTATTGTCTTTAGTGACGAGTCTCGATTTTGTTTAGGCATGCACGATGGTCGTGCCAGGGTTAGAAGGCGACGTGGTGAAAGGAGGAATCCACAGTTTTTTGTTGAAAGACATGTTCATCACACTGTTGGAGTTATGTTTTGGGGTGCTATAGTTTATATTTCCAGGTCACCTTTAATCTTCATCAGAGGTTACATGAACGCGCAGCGTTATATCCACGAAGTTCTAGAACCCCATCTTTTACCCTATCTTGACACCCTGGCAGATCCAACTTTCCAACAAGATAATGCCCGACCACATGTTGCAAGAGTCACAATAGACTTCTTTCAACATAATGATGTCACATTGTTACCATGGCCACCAAGATCTGCCGACTTATCCCCTATTGAGCACGTGTGGGATATGATGGGTAGGAGATTGCTCAATTTGCAACGTCCTCCTCAGACTCTAGATGCACTTCGAGAGGAGTTGGTGGTTGCCTGGAATGAGATACCACAGGAGGACATTGACCACCTGATCAGAAGCATGCCTAGGCGCGTTGGCGAATGCGTAGCACATCAGGGTGTATCCACACATTATTAAAGGTCAAAGGGCTTTAAAGCAGTGCAATCATTTTGAAATTTTTATCATTTACTTATTATGCTTCATTAAGTACTTATACAAAATTTTATTAAAATAAAACCATTTAAACTGGGTGTTCGGATTTATATGTCACTTAGTATAGAATACGAATTTATTGCTGTAGCTCTCTATTTCCCACCGCCAGATCATCTACTACTAAAACTCGCTACTCACAGTATATATAGTGATATGCATATCCAAAAGTTGATACTTTATAGAATCGAGAGATCGACACGGGTATTACATCTGTTGAAAAGTGACATTATGTCTTGATATTATATTGGTTTTTTGTGACAGAAGTGAGATAGATAAGAAATAATTATATTTACTGTACAATGTCGAATTGCCAGTTATATATATATACGTATGTAATTACACACAACGCCGGCGCGGTGGTGATTTCCCGTAATTTTCCTCAAAGTTTTTGAAAACACAAAAAACGTAAAAAATCGTAATTTATAACTTTGAACATAACCTGTCTTTAGAAAGGATAACATATCAATAACCCGTTGGGCACAGCTAATAGATATAATATGGAACTTCATTGGCAGCATATTCGGTAATAATTTTCTCACACAGCAAATATCACTGACTTTATACACATGCAGACCAATACATACAATCGTCCAGACGCGATCTTGCTATTCAACCAACTTTCTTCTCAGAAATGAAAACTACAGACCACCCGGCTTCACAAAACATATGCAACCAATAATGCGTGTAGTTGAGCTTCTCCCCAATAGATGGACGCTCATAACGTTCCTAGTCAGCAAATGTGGAAAGACTGTTTGCAGCTTAAATACTACCTAAGGGCCCTATCGTCAGTCGTCGCTACAATTGTAGGACGCCTTTATGGCCTCCTTGATTGTCACAGTTTTCTACCTTTCCGTGTCAGCACTCTACTTTCAGGATATGTCACAAATATTTATATGCATCAAATTGTTAGTGCTTTTGATTTAAATCATCTTTTTTATCAGCCTAAAATGTCCTGCGTATTGAAAAGAAAACATAACTTCACAATAGGAGAGCACTGAGGCTGACACGGTACGGGAGAAATCTAGAAATTTCTGAAGGAGAGAAAAGACTATGACAATCAAGGAGGCCATAAAGGCGTCCTATAAATGTAGGAACAACATAGTATCCGAGCCGATCATCCGGAGGATCATCCTCATTATGCCAATAGTGAATCAATACATCAAATCAACGCATTATGTGCGTAGCACGTGTTGCTGTATAGGTACTCTAGCTTATTACCCCGGCAGTTTAATCCCCCCACCAGTGTCTAGGGACCTGTTTCAGTGTTGCATTGTCAATCATCAAGACTGACATTACATACCTATCTTTAACTGTCTGTTTAAAATTATATTACATATTAGGTTGGCTTGACGCTAAATACATCCAGATAAAAAACTATTAAGGTATCAGTAAAATAGAACAATAATATAAATAAAAGTGACTCAGTAGAGATACCATTAATGGAATGATATTTTTTAAACAGTTGGTCATAAGCAAGACGTAGCCTTAACTTCTGTATTGCCGATCCGATGCCGTAAACATCGGTCCGCCCATCGGGGCTTTTAAGAAGGCAATATTTTTTTTGAAGTATCTCAACCCACGCTAGCTGTTCTTGGTCTCAAAGAGCTGCTATCTTTTGAGTTCCAGTATTTCCAGGATAAACCGTCGCCCCGTCATTGCTCCTGTAGTCAGTACTAGACGTGGCCTTGCACCATATGAACTGACGCCCTAAGCCGTAATTCCAACAGAATGTTGCACCTGAATTTCAGCTATAGACCTACATTACGTCTTTTTCCGCGTCGCCAAGACATATTACTAAAAGTAATCTTAAACCATTCCCAATTTCTCGGTCTCGCGTTTCAGTTGAACGTGATATTGTAGGTTTGGTGGGACATTACATATGGGGCCAACTTACCT